GTCTGGGCGACGGAGTGAGACTCCAACTCAAAAATAAATAAATAAATAAATAAATAAACATTCACTCCAATTCATGAATGATGAGTGTTACCTCTATTTTTAGTAGCTTATGTATTTGATCGTTGCTATTCATTTATTTGTTTTGAGCCAATCATAAGATACATGATTTCTTTCAAGACCAGCTTTTAAGCAGACAGGCCTTGACCTAAATTGCTAATATGCATACATGATCATTCTAAGTCATCAGACACCCCAACCCAGGACTGAGGGGAGGAGGAAGGAGACTTCATCCTTTCCCTCCCAGGACTTTGGCTTTCTGTCAGATCAGCTTCCCTGCCAGGATGGCACTCTCCACCAAGGTTGTGACAGCTCTTACTAAGTCCCTCTAAAAACTGAGGTCTTGGCCCAGGCGCTGTGGCTCACACCTGCAATCCCAGCTCTTTGAGAGGCAAAGGCAACAGGATTGCTTGAGCCAAGGGTTTCAAGACCAGCCTGGACAACTTGGTGAGACCTCAATAAATCACACAAACTACAATAAATCACAAAACCTACAATAAATCACAAAAACTAGCCGGGTGTGGTGGCGTGCATCTGTGGTTCCAGCTACTTGGAAGGCTGAGGCAGAAGGATGGCCAGAGCCCAGCAGGTCAATGCTGGGGTGGCCGTGAGCGTGCCACTGCACTCCAGCCTGGGCAGTGGAGTGAGACTCCAACTCAAAGATTAATTAATATTAATTAATTAATTAAAATAAAAAACAGCAAAAGCACTAAAAGGCATTAAAGTTGATGAGTTCAAAAACTGTTTTGAGTAGTGGAAAAAGCATATTGATAGGTGTATTGCATCAAATGAAGAGTACTTCGAAGGTGACTGAAGTTTTTTTGTTTGTTTGTTTTTTGAGTTGGAGTCTCACTCTGTTGCCCAGACTGGAGTGCAGTGGCCGCTCCCGGTCCCCACAGCCTCGACCTGCTGGGCTCCGGCGATCCTTCTGCCTCAGCCTTCTGAGTAGCCGGAATTACAGGCATGCGCTACCACGCCCGGCTGATTTTTTGATTTATTGTAGAGATGAGGTCTCGCCAAGTTGCCCTGGCGGGTCTCGAATCCGTGGGCTCAGACAGTCTGCTCACCTCAGCCTCCCAAGGTGTGGGATTACAGGCTGAGCCACCGAGCGTGTCTGTGACTGAAGTTTAAACATGCAAGAATAAGTACACAATTTCTTATAAATAGATTCCAAGATTTTTTTGGGGCCCCCCTCATATTTCAAAGAATGATGAAATTTTTATGTATTTACAATTTGCTGCAAACTATATATATTACACAGTGATTTAAGCTTATGACGAGAAATTTTAGAGGTCAATTAAAAATATACAAGAAAGGATGTAAGTTTTAAAAATTTGCTTAAGCCGGGCTCGGTGGCTCAGCCTGTAATCCCACACCTTGGGAGGCTGAGGTGAGCAGACTGTCTGAGCCCACGGATTCGAGACCCGCCAGGGCAACTTGGCGAGACCTCATCTCTACAATAAATCAAAAAATTAGCTGGGCATGGTAGCGCGTGCCTGTAGTTCCAGCTACTTGGAAAGCCGAGGTGGAAGGATCGCTGGAGCCCAGCAGGTCGAGGCTGCGGTGGCCAGGAGTGGCCACTGCACTCCAGTCTGGGCAACAGAGTGAGACTTCAACTCAAAAAAAAAAAAAAAATTTGCTTCAGACCATTGATTTATAATCTTAAAATAACCTCCAGAATACCCTAAAATTTGAGTACTTCACATAAGAGTTATTTTTGTTGCTGTCTGAAAGGAGTTTCTGAACATTTTCATATCCTGCTCAACTGTACAGCTATGTTTATTGTACACTGTGTGTGTAATTGTGAGGCAATTAAGTATCACAATAAAAGAAGAAAGGCTGGTTTTATTAAACCTGAAAATAAATAAATATACAAATAAAAGCAGAAGTCTTGCTACCTTCTACTCCTGGAATAAGGTGTTTACACTCTATTGTCATACTTGAGAAAGATCGTTCTTTGTCTAAAAAACAAATAATATTTCTGACAAATTTTCAAAATTGTGATATCATTCAAATGCCAAACAATTCACACTTTTAAAGTATATCATTTGGTGACTTTTGGTATAGTCACAAGGTTGTGCAACCACCCTCACTGTCTAATTCCAGGAGAATTCATCACTCCAGAAAGAAAGTCTGTTCCCGGGAGCCGCCACTCACCCCTCCCTGCTGGGGTCACATCTCAGCTCAAGTTTCATGGGGACAGACACATCATACCCAGACCCTAGTGCTCGTTGCTCAGGGTTACCAGCTGCATGAGCAATTCTGGGAGATGGCCTATGGAAGAGAAGTCAGGGACTTGCAGCCTGGCACACCCAGCAAGACATGCAGCAGAGTTCAAGCGGCCAAGGGGGCACCATCTCTCTCAACAGCAAGCTCCTCCAAGAGAATATTAATTTCCTTCTTCCAAGGGATGAAAACACTGGCAGTCTGGGACCGTGTCAAACTGATTTCTTAGGTTTACTGCAGCTCCCAAGTGATGTTAATTCAAATTGCACACCCAAATGAGGACCAGCTTGTGGTTGTAACTGCTGAAAGACTTTAAAAAGATACATAAATCCCTGCACCTACCCAAGCAACTGGTATATAGGAAGTGTTCAATGTATGTGTGTATAACGACTTTAAGGTCAGTTAGCATACTTGATTCCCTAATTTCTTTTTTTTTTTTTTGAGTTGGAGTCTCACTCTGTCGCCCAGACTGGAGTGCAGTGGCCGCTTCCAGCCACCGCAGCCTCGACCTGCTGGGCTCCGGCAATCCTTCCGCCTCAGCCTTCCAAGTAGATGGAACTACAGGCATGTGCTACCACACCCAGCTAATTTTTTGATTGATTGTAGAGATAGGTCTCACAAGTTGCCCAGGCTGTTCTCAAAAGGGTGGGCTCAGGCAATCCCTTCACCTCGGCCTCACAAACTGCTGGGATTACAGGCATGAGCCACTGCACCTGGCCTCTAATTTCTTTTTTAAAGCATTATTTTTAACCCACTTTTGTCATATAGTAAATATGTATTTTAGTACATTTCCTGTATGTCGTTGCAAATATTTAGTTTCAAGTGTCAAGCACTGAACTAAGGCTAACAGAAAAAGCCCAGGTGATGATTTGTTTAAGAGCTTGCAATGAGTTTCATGGAAACAGTGATTCCTAGCACCTGAGAGCATACGGTGAGCAGTGTGTCCCTGGCCACACAAAGCCCTATAATTTTTCTCTGGACATGTATGTCAGCCCCATTAAAAGGGTACACTCCAAGGGCAGGGATTTCTGACCTAAGCTTTGTCTTTAAGTCCCAAGTGCCCAGCACATGCCTATAAAATTTACAACTATGGAGACCAAACAAGCTCATCTCTGTGATTCAGTGTGGTCCATGTTTACACAGAGATGAACTTTGCTTTATTTTAAGAATTATATATTCATTTTAATGTAAATTTTTAAAAAAATATGGCTGTGCTATGGTTTAAATGATGGCATCCCCTCCAAATTCATGTTGAAACATAATCCTCAATGCAACAGTGTTAGAAAGTGTGGCCTCTGGGAAGTGATTGAGTCATAAGAGCAGAACGCAACACCCTTACAAAAAGGCTCAAGGTTGAAGGGAGGCTCTCTTGCACTTCCATCCCTCTGCCACTTGAGGATGCTGCCTTCTTCCCCTCCAGAAGATGCAGCAACAAGGAGCCACCTTGGAAGCAGACAGCAGCCCTCCCAGACAACAATCCTGCTGGACCCTTGATCTTGAACTTCCCAGTCTCTAGAACCATGAGAAATACATTTCTGTTGTTATAAATTACCCAGTCTTGGGATTTTGTTATAGCAGCACAAAAAGACTAAGGCTGTTATATCAAGTCTACAATTCAATAGATATTACTCTTAGGACCAAGCTATCCCTCTTTAAAAGCATGTCTATTTAAAGAAAAGAACATATTTAAAGCAATAACCAGTATCTTTTGGGTGGTTACATGTCCTGAGTACTTTTTTCTGTATTAATTTTGCAGAGGTAAGTGATATTATTTTCATCACCAGCTTATAGATAAAGATTCTGAAATATAAACAAGTCAGGCAATTTTCCCAAGGCCCACATCTAATAAGTGGTAGAACCAGGATTTGGACCCAGACATATTGTCTTCAGAACTCATCCTTACCACTATGTTATTCTGCATCCCTAAATAATGGATCAGCCAAGAGGTAGGTATTTAGATAGAAGGTATAAACATGACTGAGGTTTTAGACATAATTCTCTGCCTCCTAAGAAAGTCAGATAGGAAAATGAACCCTACCATGATGCAGCAGTCCTAAACACTTCATCTTACCTGTCAGAAATGTAGCCAAAAATCACCGATCCCAGCAGGACTCCAAACATAAATAAGGGCTGGACCAGCATTCCAAGCCATTTGTGGTCACAGACCAGATTCCACTCAGTCACCACAGTGCTTTGCCACTTTCTCTGGTCATATATGTAGCCATCCACACAAGGAAATTTCTCCTTACTGCCGCTGTACTCATAGTCCAAACTCGATGTGTTCTCTCTCCTGCTTCTGCTACATCTTGAGAGCTCCCAGACTTCACCGTTGTTCAACTGCACTAAGATGAAATCTTTCTGGCCTGGAGACAGCAGGGCCCAGGTGTCCTCCAACCTCCAACTTGAACGATTGTGGAAAAAAACTCTACTCACGTTGCCTGGGGGCCTGCAGGTATGCTGGGGGGTGACCACCATGAACACAGAAGCCAAATAGTGGACACCACAGGAGATATTCTGGAAGGCACACATGAAATAGAGGAATATCTGGAATCTGCAAAGAGAACAAAAGTCAGGTATCCTATCTGGCCTATGGGATGAAAAATAACATAAGCAAGCATGAAGGGTCTCTACCCTGTTTACCTTGACATAGACAGAAGTGGGTAAATACTGAAATAATTATAGATATGTCATACCCATGGGTCAGTATACATACATATAGTACCTAGCTCTGTCTACTGAGAAGGCCTAGAAGCCATGACATCCTAAAAGCAACAAGCACACTCACTGCCCAGATCTTGGTCTCTAAATATCATTCTCTAAAAAAAAGAAGCCAGGAAAAATGGCTGATTCTAAGACCAGGACAAGGAGAATACAAGATAAACCTGGAGTATCTTATAGTATCAGAAAGTAAAAGCAAATGCTCAAAAAAAAGAAAGAAAGAAAATCACAAAAGAATGAGAGATATGAAAATAAATGAACCACAGCTATGTGAAACAACATAGATTAATCTTCTCTACATAATGTTGGGTGAAAGAAGCAAGTCATAAAATAATACACATAATATTATGCTGTTATAGAAAGTTTAAAATCATATAGCAAAACTAACCTCTACTGTTATAAACAAGAATCTACACTGTTTAGGGTTGCTTATAAAAGTGATAAAATGGGATGAAAAGCGAGAGATTATCACTAAAATTTAGAATAATGGTTCCTTCTAGAAGGGGGCAGGACTGTAATCACAAAGGGAGGCATGAGAAGTTATTGGGCCGGGCTCGGTGGCTCAGTCTGTAATCCCGCGCCTTTGGGAGGCTGAGGTGAGTGGATTGCCTGAGCCCGCGGGGTCGAGACCCGCCTGGGCAGGCGAAAC